TTAGCCAGGCATGGTGGTGCATGCCTGTAATCTCAGCTACTCAGGAGGCTAAGACAGGAGAATTACTTAAACCTGGAAGGCAGAAGTTACGGTGAGCCAAGATTGCACCATTGCACTCCAGCCTGAGAAACAAGAGCAAAACTCTGTCTCAAAAAAAATTCAAACAACTGGTTGGGCACAGTGGCTCATGCCTGTCATTCCAGCACTTTGGGAAGCTGAGGTGGAGGATCACTTGAGGCCAGGAGTTTAAGTCCAGACAACATAGTGGGATTTTATCTCTACCAAAATTACAAAAATTAGCCAGGCATGATGGCATGCACCTGTAGTCCCAGTTACTTGGGAAGCTTCGGTGGGAGGATCTCTTTAGCCTGGAGGGTCAAGGATGCAGTGAGCCATGTTTGTGCCACTGCACTCCAGCCTGGGCAACAGAGTGAGACTGTGTCTCTAAAAAATAATAACATAAAATAAAAAAATTCAAACAACATAAAAGTGGCTTATAACTGCAGCTGGATTTAGGGATGGAGAAAAAGCCAGGGATGTTTATGGCCCAAATTACCGAGCAGTAAAAGGCATTGCCCACTTCAACAGCTAAGAGAGAGCTGTACATCTCCCTCCATCATTTCCTCTCCTACATCTGTCCCTCTTCCAAACTAAGGCTAATCCCCTCACCTGTGCTTTGGATTGCATCTACCGCCACCTTCCTAGAAACTGTATAAGAACTGATTACTCCTTCTACCTCTTGTGTTTTCAATACGTCCCTCTGAATCAGATCCCTCCCATTCACTTTTTTAAATTCTCAAGTCTCTCTCATTATTAAAAGAAATGCCACTGGGCCAGGCGCAGTGGCTCATGCCTGTAATCTCAGCACTTTGGGAGGCCGAGATTCACAGATCACCTGAGGTCAGGAGTTCGAGACCAGCCTGGCCAAAATGTCAAAGACCCGTCTCTACTAAAAATACAAAAATTAGCCAAGTGTGGTGGCATGTACCTGTAATCCCAGCTACTCAGGACGCTGAGGCAGGAGAATCGCTTGAACCTGGGAGGCAGTGGTTGCAGTGAGCTGACATCACGCCACTGCATTCCACAGCCTGGGTGACAGAGTGAAACTCCGTCTTAAAAAAAAAAAAAAAAAAAAAAAAATTAGTTGGGCATGGTGGTGCATGCCAGCAGTCCCAGCTACCCAGGAGGCTGAGGCAGGAGAATCACTTGAACCTGGGAAGTGGAGGCTGCAGTGAGCCATGATCACACCACTGCACTCCAGTCTGGTGAGAAAGCGAGACTCAGTCTCCAAAAAAAAAAAAAAAAAAAAGAAATGCCACTACTCAACTCTGTTACCTTACCTCCAAGGACCACTCACCTTTCTCCTCCTCTTCACAACTTCTTTAAAGAGCTATTTACTCAGTTTGCCCATGATTCACTTCATGTCCACTCCTCAGCCCTCTGCAATCTGCCACTGCCATCAAATCGTTATACATCTCTCCCCAAGGGTATCAATTATCTCCATAATGCTAACTCCAACCTCCTTTTTTGGCCTGTCCTACATGGTACATGTACTACTAATTGTTGGCTGTCTATCAGCTTCTATTTCTCTATTTTTCTTTATAGGCAAACCCCAATTTTATTCAGATTTCTACTGTGTTCTAATGTGTTTCAGGGAAGGGTATTCCCAACTTATGGATAGACAGCTTCTGGGCCAATCAGAGCATGGGTTTCCCCTCGTTCTTGTACAGAGTGGACATATGAGCCAAACTGGCTCAAGCAGGTTAAAAAGATCTATGACTGGGAAGAGAAGACACCTCTCTGTCACCCTTGCTCTCTCTCTTTTATGTAAGATATTTATTTCACATTTATTCTAGTCTTAGTGGCCATGTCCTATTAATTTCAGCATAAACCATCCCAACTCATACAATCACTCCTACTGACTTTTCCTCCCATTGAAACACTCTTCCTTTGGCTTCCATGGCCCTTGCCATCCCCACCAATCGCGGTTTCCTTTTACTGCTCTAGCTACTACTTCTCAAATTGCTAAGTTAGGGG